AGGAAATTGAAATCTTCGTAAGATAATTACAAGTTTCTTGTTTTGAGATAGGATGGCTTTTGCAAAGCAAGTCTTAGAATTCAATGAAAAACCCTTGTTTGTTTTTGTTTGCACTCAAAAATTAAAAGCACCCGAAGAAAACAATGACAGAAAAAGGTCGCACTGATCGTATCGAATTATTTCCTTATCATCAGTATTATCAGTAGGTGAAAAAATTAAAATAGTCGCCTCATGAAATCTGTGAACCACAGTGGCGTAATCCAGGGGATACCTTAATTATGTTTGTGGCCACTCTCCACTGTCGTAATTATCGCAGAAACAGACATGTGTAATGTCTGTTTACCATTTTCTCAAATCAAAATTTCGATTTTAAGGTAAACAGGGTGGTGGTGGCTGGTTTGCTCGGCTGGATAATTTTCCACCCGAAAAGTGAATGAAAGGTCTTGAGAGCAGCCGAGCAGAAAATTTGTGTTCTTGTTCCAATTTGATTTTACGCATAGCTAATTCAGTACCAAGCTAGGTTTCAGGCCCTCCGAGTAGTGGAATATGATAAAGAGATTCGAACGACAGAGGAAGTCAATAGGCCATTTCCAAGCTAGTTGCCTTGCCTTTTGCCTTTGTGTCAAAATGAGGCTTCGTGCGAAACCATTCATATGAAAAACGAGTTCCGCCTACAGGTTCATTTTCATTCATGATCAAATCAAACTCATTTTCATAAGACTCACGTGCGTTTAGTCAAAATTCTAATAATTTCCCGAGTCTTTACCTCTTATTCTCGGTGACAAATAACGCGTACAATCACGGCCTTTTTACTTGTTTATTAAATCGAGAACTCCAAGCATTGAAATAAACTTTTAAAGCCGAGATCTTGGTACTGAGATATAGGAAATCTTGTACCCTGGGTACGAGAGGTTTTTTCTCGCTCGCGGCGGACGGAAATACTTCGCTTAGAAAACCCCGGTTTTCGCGCGGGTCACAACAGAGACATGATCAACACCGGAAACCGCACAAGAAAAACCTCTGGCACCCAGGGTACAGATATTGCCATCGCATTTGTAATTTCACATGTAAAATTATACATTAACGCTGAAATTTCGCTTTTATTTCCTCTTAATCAAGTTCATTTGACCGTTTTTCCGCCATTCATTTAGTACTTAGTCCGTGTCCGTCACCAGGTGCGCTGTACCGCCTAACACCAATAAAACCTTTCGTTACATGAAGGGCGGGCAAGTTAGAAGTCATTAACACTCGTTTGGACGCGTATTACCATACTTTTGAGTTATTACGAAATATCTACTTAACAATTAGATTATGAGCTCGAGATTTCTATGAGGTGATAGTTGATGAGACCGAAGAACTCTAACTGAAATTTGCTTCAAACAGCGATTCCAAATATTTCTGGTCTTAATATTAAATTTCTCGCTTTAGAGAATTCCCGCGGACTGAGTTCTCAATTTGACATTATCAGGTGTGCGAGCGCTTATCGGTTTCTTTCAAAACATTCGAGTTTTTTTTATTCCAGAAACCATGAATGTCCTTTTTCAGCCTTCTCAGGAATTTAACTATCCTTTTGTTCTTAAATGTTCTTTCAAAGCTTCGGGGAAACGAGAAAACGTTGAAATTTTATCGACCACACCAAGCCACTGAACACTAATGGCTAATAGTGTACAATGGCTCAGCCAATCAGATTGCAGCTTTTGCATTAGTGCTCAAGTAGAATTCTACTAAACAACGTTAGAATTAGGAAGGAATTCATGATGATGTATATACCTTATTACACGAAATTTTCGCGACACGCTTAGTTCGCGATTTTGAGGCGCGCATATTTTGCGACACTTAAACTCCGCGATTTTGCGAAAATTTTGTATTTTGAATTACTTAAACCGACTTCGCGTTTTTTTCTTCATTATTTATTTCCTTGGCAATGTTACTTTTAACATGTCCTTGAATTTAGTAAACCGATTTTATCGCAGGTACAATAACGTCAAAATTAAAAAAAGAAAAAAAGAAACGGCGGGACTGTATGTCAACAGTAACAACAAAGCAGCTCTCACAATCTCCACAAGAAGTTCACGCTCGCACGTGAATTATGGAGACAGAAAACAGTAGTGACGAGGAGGACCGAGGCATTGCCTCAGAATAGTTCAAAATATGATTTTGTGAACGTTTCAGTGGTAAGACTCACTCTTTCTTGATTATTGACGTAATCTAAGTCACTTAATTTTCGCGTCACGTTATGTTCGCGACACTTGTTGCTTTAATTTCGTGATGTTTTTTCTTAAACGCGAAATTTGCTTCAAGTTTTCTTCAAATCGCCTTTAAAAGAGATATGTTCATAATTCAGTCGAATAAGGAGGACTTGACAAAAGTTCTGAACTTAAAACCACTCTTCATCTTAACTCCGACAGCGTTGATATTTCTAGCTTGGTTAGAATGTTCTCATCGATTTCTTTGCATATAAGTCCATTAAAGTTCACACAAAGTTGATGTTTTGCTTTCAAAGTACTGCATCATGGATGGTGGTGCATCATTCGCGAAATATTTCAAGTGTTTGTTCTTAATCTGCCACCAAAACAAATAGTTCTTTTTTGGTTTATTTCAACCTTTGTGATCTTTTTCTACTAAATATAATTTATGCGTTCTTTAAAGTGTCGTTGGAGTATTGACTAAAAACAGTCAAGCTGCTTGATTGTGGCCTTCGCTGCTCGTCTCACTTCTCTGATCTTCCAACAATACAAGATCGGGTTTAAAGACGAATTAAGGTAGAGTAGAGTCTCTGTGGCTATCCAAACCAAGAGATTGTCTATTCCGATAAAAAACAACAAGGCCAGAATGCTCCAGGGAACATAGCAGGCAGCTAATGCCAGCTGCACCCACAAAATGCTAGAAACTGACTTTTTGTATCTTGCTATGTTCAGTGGAATCCCTCTTCCGTTCGGTTGTCCTTGGGGACTGACATGATTTTGTAGGCGGGTTTGTTGATGTCGTAGTTTGAAGTGGATTCTCGTGTAAAAGAAAATCACAATTAACAGGGAAAACAGGAAGAGACCAGACACTGCTTTCAAGAAGATGTTTACACTCCAAATCCGGATCGTTCCGGCTGAAGCATTAACTAACCAAAAACAAACTATAGCTGCTCGAACGCGCCTTAATGTTACAACAAGTCTGTATCTCATTCCCAACAACAGGGCGAGAAGTCTGTCCACACTAATTGCGGCTGACGTTAAGAGGGATACTCCAGTCAAAATCCAAGTTAAAACGTTATAAGATTCGTGAACAAAGGAAAAACCCGTCCCTTTTACCTCTGTTATGATAAGCAGGATGAAGGTTGCAAAGAGTGGTTGGGCAACCAGTCCAACACAAAAATCAGTGACCGCCAGACATCGAAAGAAGAGTTTCGTCGGAGGATAAATAAAAGTGACTTTATGAAGGGCAACAAGGATCAGAGTATTGCCCAGAGATGCGGTGATGGATAGAAAAATGTTCAAAGCTAAAAACAATTCAAGTGTACCGAATGATGGGCTGAGTGTGTGGTCCAGTTTGCTTGTGAAGTTTCCGTCTCCAGTGCTGTTCGCCATTGTTCTTGTGTGATCAGAAAATTGAAGTCGCTGTAAAGATCGCTCTTAGATCAGACCAGAAACCTCGGTCAGCTTGAAGTTAGCAGTTAACGTCGAATTTCACTGCATGTCGCTGACAACACATCCATGCAGTTGTCCTTTATAACTGTTTTGCGCGTCGTAATTAATTTTTAGATTATAATTAAGGCCCCGGTGTGTATTGGTTTGATCTTTTAAATTTGCCCCTTTGTCTAGTTTTTTACCTTTAAGAAGTCATGTTTGGGCTGAAATTATTACTCAATATTGACGTCTCGCATGTAGATTGAAAATTAAAAATAAAGAAATGCGAGATGTTAGATAATGAAAGAACAGAATTACACGTGTTCGTAAGGATCGAAAGCCGAATAGTGTGGGTAACAGAAAGTTTAAGTTTTGGCTCTGATTTAGGGACGAACGGTAAATTTTTAAAACAGCTATTCCACAGACCTAGGGTAAATGATGGTTTAAACTATGAACAGCAGCTGAAAAAATTAAATAGTTGGTCATCTTGCCAATAGTATAAGCCTTTTTTCAAACATCTCTGTTTACAAATACTTAGGGCTTTTAGTCTTTAAACTGTTATCAAAAAACCCCTAGCTGTTGTTTACAGTAGATAAGATGGGAGTATATTGTCCTTATTCCATCGGCGGCAAATACTTATCACATGAATTTCCATAACGACTTACAAATGATAAGTATAGGTAATCGTATAAATGCGAGTCCAAAAGGGATTTACAGTACGAGTGGTATTTGAAAAATCTCTCAAAATTGCACGAACCTTTACGGGTAGTGTAAATCCTTAATTTTGACAGCGGCTTTTAACCGAAACGTTGCCAAAAATCATGTGCGAGGGTTTCACGCACGAGAGGTGTAATTCTAACACGAATTATTTCAAATTTCCATACTGTCTCATTTTCTTACATAATTACATTACTTTTATGGCTAGAACGTTTCTATTTTCCAATGCCCATAATATAAACGCGAAGCATCCGTTAGTAGCTCGGGAGAAAAAAAAAAGACTCGCACGAGAATTTGAACCTGCGACCATTCCAGCCCGCCACCTTCAGATTACCCGGCTGAAATTTGACCACATCGCCAACTTGCAACTGATGAATTAATTATGAAGAAAAACATTTACAAACTCACAGATAGCCTAATTGATTGACGACCACCACTGGTTAAAATGATTCGCATAGCGAGCTTACAGCGAGCGACCACGCATTTAAATGGCAGTTGTTTACTGTTGGAAATCACTCAATATGCTAGCCAGATGACCTGTTTTGCTGGCCATGTTATCTATTCATGGATAGTTTAAGATGCTAGACGGGTATTCCTTTCTCACTCTCCACTGAGGTCAGGAGATCGCTTGGCGTGAAGTCGTAAAAGTCATGTGACAAAGCGCACGGTTTGCAGTCTAAAACCGTAGCGATTCGCCATTTTGCTGATTGGTGCGTCAATCTTTCGCAAAATGTTTCAAGCTTTTCTTCTTAATCTGCCACAAACTAAAAATTTTGGTTTCTTTTTGGTTTCATTCACCTTTAAGATCATTGCCTACTTAATTTAGCGGTTATTTTAAAGGGTACCTGGATTTGAAGATAACTTTGAGCACGATCATTTTACTTTAAATCCTCTTTCGTTCACTATTTTTATACATTGTGCTATTTTTCGTGGCAACCGTAAGTCAACCCATACAGCTAATTATCTAAACACAGTTAAGCTGCATTATTGTGGCCTTCGCAGCTCGTCTCACCTCCCTGATCTTCCAACAATACAGGATCGGGTTTAAAGATGAATTAAAGTGGACAAGAGTCGTTACGATTGTCCAAGCCATGTCCTTTTCTATTCCGATTACAAACAACAAAGCCAGAATGACCAAGGGACCATAGCAAGCAGCTAATGCCAGCTGCACCGACAAAATACTAGAAAGTGACTTTTTATATCTTGCTATGTTTAGTGGAACACCTCCTCCGTTTGAACGTCCTTGGGGAACATTGTTTTTTGTCAGATTCATCGATGTGGTAATTTGAGGTGTATCCTCGTGAAACAGAAAATGGAAGTTACCAGAGAAAGTGTCAATACGATAAAGGCAAACATAAAAGTGATATCTGTTCTCCACATCCGAATCAATCCAATAGAAGCACCAGTAAATCAAACACAAATTATAGCTACACGGACTCGCCTTAATGTTACGACATATCTGTATCTCAGTCCCAACCACAGGGCGAGAAGTCTCTCCACATTAATTGCGGTCAGCGTCAAGACAGATATTGCACACAAATTCCAACTTGAAACTCGACAAACTTCGTAAATATAGTACAAAACGTTCTCGCTCACCTCTGTTACACGAGACAGGATTTCGGTTGCATAGAGTGGCTGTACAAGAAGTCCAACGCAAAGATCAGTGACCGCCAGACATCGAAAGAAAAGTTTCGTCGGTGGATAAATGGAAGGGACTTTATGAAGAGCAACGAGGATCAAAGCGTTGCTCAGGAATGCGGTGATGGATAGAGAAATGTTCAAAGCCAGCGCTGTAAAAAATTCAAGCGTTCCCGCATATGGTGCATTGACTACTGTAAGAGCGCTGTAAGTTGACAAAAAACCTCGGTCAGGTTGCAGCTTAATGTCATCAGGCTGAAAATTTCATATTTCGCTGATAACACATCCAGTTGTCCTTTAAAACTGTTTGGCGCCTTTGTTAATTTATTTTTGTTTTGATTTGAAGGGTGCGGCTATTAATTTTGCCGATTCGTCAAGTTTTTAACATGATGAAGTCGCATTTGTGCTGGAAAGTGAGATAGTTTTTGTCAAGAATAGTTAATTGGAAAAATAAAGACAGTTTTTGAAGCTGGTAATTACTTGCCACATGAATGTCTGAATTGCTTTAAAAATATTAATGCACAAATTTCCAGCAGGCTAAATATGAGAAATAACAGCTGTTTCAGATCAAAAACACTTGCGGAGTAAATAAAAACACGAGAAAATGAAAGTTAAGTCTCTGCTATATTTCACTCCGAACACTGGAAATTGAAATTCTACCAAGACCTTAAACCCACTGGATTATGTGGCATATCTTTATTTCCACCCCATTTTGTTCATTTGTTATATAACTTAAGAAAATTATTTTATTTCCATTGGCTGAAGGCAGCCAAATTTATCCTCTCTTTTTAATTTGATTTGCACAGTAGTGCAAATTAACGCGCTTGCGTTCATAATTAACAATTATTCAATATTTAACAATTATTCCACGAGCTAGTAGTATGGTAATCAACACCCCACTAAACCGCATCCTCCTTTTGAGTATTTTTTGCATTTTGATTTCATGTTTTCAGCTCATCTCGACAAAGAGCTAGAATCTTACATCGAACAGCTACCCAAAGTTCATCTCGTCAGAGCAAAGACTCGTCAAGGACTGATTCGCGCGCGACTTATTGGCGCTAAACAAGCGAAAGGAGAAGTGCTCGTCTTCTTGGATTCTCATTGCGAGACTAACTACGGTTGGTTAGAACCGCTGCTGGCAAGGATCGCACATGACAGGACAATTGTTGTGACCCCGGACATTGAAGTTGTTGATTTAAGAACGTTTTCTTACGCCAAGGGTAAAGGAGGCTATAATAGAGGGATTTTTAATTGGGAATTGACGTTTAAGTGGAGAGCGTTGCCGGATTATGAGAAGCAGCGGCGAAAAAGCGATGCCGATCCCATCAGGTAATCAAGTTTATCTTCTCCCTGTCAAATTATAGCAATATCATTATCATCATCGTCATCTCTATTTTTGTTGTCACCTTTAATCGTCATAGTTGTTATAATTATCGCCATTTTCTCGTTTTCGTTGTTTTAATCGTTATCACTAGCATTGTCATGGTTATCGTTACTCTTATCTATATTTATTATTTATCTTTATTCATTTATACATGGAAAATGATCAGTTACATACTGTTATAAAATATACTGATATAGGCAACAAAAATAGACTGGTTTACATCCGCATATTAGAGCTCCGCTTAGTGTCCGCCCATTAAAGCTCAAAAATGTGGCTTTTGTGTATAATTGGAATTGTCCGTTTTCGAGAGTTGTCCTGCTCTATGGAGAAACGTCTGTCCCGTTAGTGGAGTGACAAAGTTAAAAAACTTCCGAATTCTTATCTTTAAAATATTCCTACCCTTTGTTAGGTCTCCCACAATGGCCGGCGGGTTATTTGCAATCGACAGAAGTTATTTTTATGAAATTGGTTCTTATGACACTGAAATGTCTTACTGGGGAGGCGAAAACGTGGAAATGTCATTCCGGGTAAGTTATGGACCTATTCGATTCTTTGCATAGATTAATCTTCGGTAGGCCGTTGTGTCGTTCTTTCTTTAACGTTTAAAAAAGTCCATATTTCGGCCGTTGTATCAAAAAACCCAGACCCTTCAACTGGATCGTCGCGCTTTCGAGATACTATCGTCTCCCAGGCGCTCAGTTAGTTGGGGCGCAGCGCGAAAAAGTGGCAGAGCGAAAAATGGAGAGAGACCTCCCCGCGCCGCGGTTCACCCCTATTTTTTCGCGCGCCATTTCTACCGCTGCGCCCTATTAACTGAACGCCTGGAAGAGTCAATCGAGATACGAGAGACTGTTCTTATGTGTTCAATTCTGTCCACAAGTGGACTCTTCAACAATTATCACAGACTGGGCGGAAATTCTCTCCTCATCTTTGTTACCAACCTTGGCTCGAGCACATGTGTTCGAAATAAAAGATACGTTTTCTAAAATATTTTATTTTTTAATTTTTGAACAAGGAAGTCAGAAACGTTACATTGATCCAGATTTTTCATTAAAAAGAGCTGAGTTACGGCATTTTGAGTTATTTTGGCCACCTATAGTAGTTCACTAACAAAGTAAATAGTGGTTTGCTAAGAAAGAAAGACACAAAGGAGATAACAATAAACCTTTAAGGAACAAGGATGGTTAAGGATGGAGAAGATTAACACGGATTACAAACGAGGTACTTGAAAAATTTAGGCTAAACTTTTCAAGATGCGCAAACCGTGACGTAGCTTATTGAACTGTCGTTTTGTCTTTCAGATATGGATGTGCGGGGGGTCCCTTGAAATCCTGCCTTGTTCCAAGGTCGGTCACGTGTTCAGAGAGAGCCAGCCGTACAAGATTGGTGAAGGAGCTATTGACAAGAATAACATGAGATTAGCGGAAGTCTGGATGGATGAATATAAAGACATTTACTATGCCATGAGGCCACAGCTGAAAGGAAAGTCTTTTGGAGACGTATCGGAAAGAAAGGCTCTCAGAAATAAACTGAACTGTAAAAGTTTCAAATGGTATCTGACGAATATCATTCCTGAATTGGATGTCCCGGATATGTATCCTTACGGACGAGGGGAGGTAAGGGGCTTCAATGTTCAACGTTCGAAAACTATAGCTATCACACGTTATTGATTATATAGCGAACTTGTTCCAAGGCGCTCTTGATTTCTACCTTGTATCTTTTCCCTATGCAAACGCCATTTGCATTGGTAATTTGTACTTTGGGGATTATCCAAATGAAGGTATAAAAGAATTTACACGTGTTCCACTTTATCACTCTACTCGAAGTCTCGAAAGCGAAGCGGTTGGCAACCCAGCATCCCACCCAACGAGTAAGTCTGGCTTGATCTCGCTGTCCGCTACTATTTTCGCCTGGTCTTGGGCTTGTCCCGGGCCAGTTCGATTCCCCATAACTTATTACCATGTCATTAATACCAATACCCAGGGAAGAATAATACACTCTTGTCAGTCAGGTTTATGAGAGTTAATGCAGATCTGCGCCAGTCTCTCAGCGACTCGGAGAAATGGCGAAGGGTCTGTGAAGGATACTGGGTACAATACAGGCATCCTTACTCTCAATCAATCTCGCGGCCTGTTGTGAGACTATTTAAACTAATCAAAGTTTAAATTTGTAGTCGGTTCTATCAAGTTCGATTGGGTTACCGTAACAACAACAGTTTGAAAGAAAAGCTACGATTTTTTTTAAAATTACCTTATTCTCTAACAACAGATGGATCTTTTTTTTTTTCTTTTGTTTCTGTAGGTTCGCAATCTTGGAACCAACCAGTGCTTAGACACTATGGCAAAAAATGAACCCGGCGGAGAGCCCGGCATGTACATGTGCCATGGAATGGGAAATAACCAGGTACGGACCAGTTTTAAATGAGTGTTTTAAAACCAGAACCAAAGCTTTGACAATGGTAAATCATGGAAAACTAAACAACACAATGAACCGATAAGAACAAGATGTAAATTAACCCACCCTGCGCATGACGCTGGGAAATATCAGTCACGAAGTTGGGAGAGGTTTCGATTTTGCATCTGAATGGTTCATTTAGGCGGTGCAAGGGTTTTTTTTAAACCAGCATAGTATTGTAAAGCGGGTTAACCGCGGCCTTCTTGAAAATCTCTCCATTATGAATTGTTCAGTTCAAGAATTGCATGGTACCGCAAGATTTTGTACGAAATTGAAGTGAAAAATCCTTGCCAAATTAGCTTGAACCAACAGACCCTCCACGCGTTTTCAAGTCTGCCCGCGCTGCAGTCAATTCCGCTCTCGCCATTGTTAGTCATTCCTCCAGCACTTCCGAAAAACTGAACGACTGACCATCAATTAACGGCAGTCATTATGATTTCAACTTTCTTCTTTCTTGTAGTTTTTCATGTTCACCAAAAAGCAGGAGTTCTGGCATGACGATCTTTGCCTGGATCTAACAAATGGCGACCCAAGCACCAAGGTCCAGTTGTACAACTGCCATAAACTGGGCGGAAACCAAAAGTGGGAGCATGAGAGGGTAGGTGCCACTTAACATGAGAAGGAGGCTGTCGATTTATTGGTGACATGGCAAGATAGTTTGGCCCGATTGGCCTTCGTGCAAATAGAAGACGCAAAACAATATCCACAGATGCGCGAAGCTAAGACGAGAAGGGAGCAGGAGACGCCTTTGTTCAGTTATCGCGCATCCTTGGAGCTTTCCTTGAAGTCTCGCGCTGATAAGTTCTTTCTCTCTTGCTAAACATTTCGTCACGCGAGCGTGACGTGTGCATCAGCGAGAACCACCGCTTTATTAAGGGCTGCAAGCTTTAGTTTGAGTCTCACGTGTCCGTCATCCTTCTTTTGTATTCGCAGGATGGAAGAATTCGTCATGCACTCTACCAAGTGTGTCTGGACGTTGAAGGAGAAAGCTTGGTCGTGCGAAAATGCGATGACCGGCAAACACAGAAGTGGAGATTTACTGCCTACCCTGAGGAAGACAGAACTAAAACAGATCAAGAGAAAATTTTATAACCCTAACTTGACAGTAGGGTAATATTCTTACTAGTGGTTTTCAAAATACAAANTTGGGTCAAGAATGGCCAAGTTTCTTCTTTTTCCTTGGCGGGAAAACATTCACGCATGCTCAAATATTAACATAATGTATGGATTAGATTCGACACGGCAGAAATTCGACGTCTGAATCGGTGTCCCATTTCTGTCGGATAATGCGACAAGACCAGTCGAACGTGCGGCAGAAATGCGGCAGCCGATTCAGACGTCCAGTTTCTGTCGAATTTAATTCGTTGAATTGAATTCGACACGGCAGAAATGCGACGTATGAACCGGGCCTAAATTAACACACCCTGCGCATAACGCTGGAAAATATCAGTCACGAAGTCGGGAGAGGTTTCGATTTTGCATCTGAATGGTTCATTTAGGCGGTGCAAGGATTTTTTTTTTAAACCAGTACAGCATTGTAAAACGGACTAACCGCGGCCTTTTTAAAAATCGCTCAGTTATGAATTGTTCAGTTCAGGAATTGCACGGTTTCACAAGATTTTTTACGAAATTGAAATATAAAATCCCTTGCAAAATTAAGCTTGCGCCAAAGCGACTCTCCGCGCGTTTTCAGGTCTGCCCGTGCTGCAGTCAATTTCCGCCCTCGTCATTGTTAGCCATTCCGCCAGTATTTCTGACCATCGATTAACGGCTGTCATTATGATTTCAACTTTCTTGTTTCTTGTAGTTTTTCATGTTCACCAAAAAGCAGGAGTTCTGGCATGATGATCTTTGCCTGGATCTAACGAATGGCGACCCAAGCACGAAGGTCCAGTTATATAACTGCCATAAACTGGGCGGAAACCAAAAGTGGGAGCATGAGAGGGTAGGTTCCACTTAGCACAAGGAGGCTCTCGATTTGTTGGTGACATGGCAAGATAGCTTGGCCCGATTGGCCTTCGTGCAACTGTAAGACGCGAAACAGCGTCCGAAGATGCGCGAAGACGAGAAATGAGCAGGAGACGCCTTTGTTCAGTTATCGCGCATCCTTGGAGCTTTCCTTCAAGTGTCGCGCTTGTAATTTCTTTTTCACATGCTAAACATTTCGGTGCGCGAGCGTGACGTGTGCATCAGCGAGAACCACCGCTTTATTAAGGTCTGCAAGCTTTAATTTGAGTCTCACCTGTCCGTCATCCTTCTTTTGTATTAACAGGATGGAAGAATTCGTCATGCCCTCTACCAAGTTTGTCTGGACGTTGAAGGAGAAAGCTTGGTGGTGCGAAAATGCGATGACCGGCAAACACAGAAGTGGAGATTTACTGCCTACCCTGAGGAAGACAGAACTAAAACAAATCAAGAGAAAATTTTATAACCCTAACTTGACATTAGGGTAATATTCTTACTAGTGGTTTTCAAAATACAAACTTAGTTTTGCAATATGGTATTATCTAACAAAGCGTAGGCACAATGTTAAAAAGCGCTTTTTTGAACGCATAGAACGTCGAAAGCAAATTTATGAAGTTCTGTGTTTGTTTTAATTTTGAGCCTTTTTATTGGTTAAGATGCAGCTCACTTAAGCCCATCAAAGCAATCACGTGCTGTTCTATTTACCAATCATGTGGAAGTAATGCCAAAACTTTCCCGCGCTTTCAACGGGTTGCATATGCATGTTTTTGATTAGCCTTCTGATTGGTCCTTTGCATTATTTTAACTTGTTGTGATTGGTCAGCTATAGTTTGCTTTGGGTTTGGTTCACTCAGCTCCCACAAATTAATTAGAAATCTCTGCTCGCGAGTACTTTTTAGTTTATCATCTCGGTGTTTGGCCCGTTAACGACTGTTTACCGTTATTCTTCGACTTTGACAGGGTCTGTTAACCGTGACATTGGTTGATTTCGCAGTTTTAGTTATATTAAGTTTGCAATTCTGTTGACAGTCAATACAATAATTAAGTACTTTATAAATAATCCATAATTTATTACTCGAAAGCACTTTCCAACACCTAAGTTCAGTTAAAAGTTCATGGAAAATTGTTGGGAAAGTCTTTTAGACATGTAGGGTACTGGGGATATTGATATAGTCAGTTCTATGCCATTTTGTGAAGTTTTTACTGAAGAGTTTGATTGAAAAAGTATAATCGTGCAAAACGCGCATTA